CTTAATATCCTAATACTTCATTAAGATAATTTTATTCCTTTCATATAAGCCTTAGTTAACTACTTTTCAAGAAGCTTGAAAACTAAGCTTACTAGATTTTGAGGTTTGATTTAAACAGTATCTGTGCAAAGCCTTTATACAATAACATCTCTCAACAACACAAATTTAAGCTCATTTCACATAATCATACTAGCTCGAACAGCTTCATAAACAGTTAAATATCTGGTGTAATTTTACATTTCATTCAATGTATAAATAAATTATCTGTAGAAAGATATAAAATTATCGAATGAAAGTCTTCAGCTTTGCTTTGCCGATAGGACCCGGCGACAGGAGTCAAACAAAGCTGCATTTTTCTTGAACGAAAAACATACGATAGTTGGTTAAAAACAACTGAATTGTTATGGATTTAAAAGGACGAATATTCGTTGTAATATGCTCTTCATGTTATATTTCATAACGAAAAACATACGATAGTTGGTTAAAAACAACTGAATTGTTATGGATTTAAAAGGACGAATATTTGTTGTAATATGCTCTTCGTGTTATATTTCATCCAGCACTTAAATAAATTAAGCTTATCTATAGAAAAATTAAAAGTTTTGAGAGAAAGTATTTGATTTGTCGATTCGTCGAAAAAATGCTTCTCATAAAAAATAATAATATACGCATTGTTTGCTAAAACACCTGAATTCTCGAAGAAATCATAACATAACTGATTTGATATCAGTATAGTATGGTTCTCGACAAAAGGTTCACTCAAAATGGTTTGCTCGTAAATTGATCTCTCGTAAAGTTCACGGACCGACCCGTTCCGAAAAAGCTCGACATCTTTTAGTGTGGGTCTACCGTGAACAGTGTGTGCCTTTGTACGCGTTTTGAGCGTGTTTGACTCCATATTATCCATCATTACGTTCAACGAAGATAATTTCACATTCGCCATTGTTTAACCATGTGCTCTTGACTAATTCTACGCATGCGCATTAGCGCCTTGACTGCGATTTGTGACTGAAAGCACACACAAAAAAAACGAAACAAATTCATATCTCGGGCATTCCTACGGAAGCCCGAGTAAATAGGTGTACCTGAGGTAGCTGCCAAATTATGGATCCAAGAGCTGAATGCATTTCTTGCTAAGAAATCGAAAAAGTGGGTGCAACATGCCAGTCTGTTGTTGAAGATGGAGATGCTGGTCAACCACCACCAAGCATTACTCAACATCATGGATTCTTATCTGGTTTATGCCAACAAGTAGTTCTTCGCACAGCATGGGCTCAGTACAAAAAGCAGTACAGAGATGCGTAGAAAGGCCAGGAGCCTTACAGAGCAGTACAGACACATTGCTTATAGACAACTAGCAAGATGGTGCTGGGGAATTCTTAGAGAGGAAGTTCCAGAACATCGTCAATTGCAAATGAGCCGGCGTCGAAAAACGCAAAAAATCAAAAACATATGACACATGGCCACAGCATCCCCGCCATGATTTCCTGAGCTATTATCATCCCAGTTATCACCCATTTTGATACAAAAGTTATGAAGTACTGCACACGCTTTGAAGCTGTTACAGAAAATTCAATATCGCTATCGAGGCGCTTTGACAAGATTCTCCAGCGCGATTTTAGACATCCAAATGCACATTCTATTTTTACCYTAGGGCTAGAAAGCTCCTTATTAAACTGTATTTCTGATCTGTCTCTTGTTGCCTCTGGTTTTTGAATCCATGGGGAAAGGGGATATGCATTGTCTCCAACTAAAATACGGGACAATGTCATGGTTATTTATGTCTACAACAGGAACAGCAAGAATATTCCCTTGTTCGGCTCTGTCATACAACGTACTGTTCCGTAACACTCTTCTGTCGTGTATGCTACCTGGATAGCCCACAGAAAAATCCAAAAAGAGCAATATATCATTGCAAACCGCCTGAATGATAAAATTATACTGCTCATAGCAGCTCCGGTAATTGGTTTTACTTTCTTTAGGCGCATTTATTTTGATATGGGTACCATCGATTGCCTCAACAATGTTGGGAAGGTTCGAATGGTTGGTAAATGTTTCTATAGAAGCCACCGTTTCAGCTAGTGTGCCAGGGAAATGGATATTGGGTCTTTCACGTACCTTCCCATTTCTAGGAGCTTTTTCCATTAAGTGATATTGTAATTATTACCAGTAATGAACACAACGCTTCTGTCATGTACCTTCCCATTTGTAGAAGCATTGTAATTATTACCAGTAATGAACGCAACTGTTCAAAGATAGCCTGCAAAACAGAGCATATGGGGATTGGGATTGGGATTGGGATTGAGTGCCATGCTTTGCATTATTTTCTACTAAATGGTGCCAACAAAAAAATAAGAAATGGTTAATTACCTATCAAATCTTGACTGGTGTCGTTTAATCAATTCCTGTTTGTCTGGGGCAGGAACACTAGCAATGTTTCTTGGAAATTGAACCTCTTCAATCGGTTCAACCCCCGAAGCCTCCATGCTAGCCTCACAAATCTTAAGTACTTTCAGTTGTAGCTCRGGTATGAAAGCATAGCTTTTTCTCTTAACAATTTTTCCGGCTTAACAATCCAGCGCTTGAGCATCTTAGGGAAGCACTTGCGATAGCCAGCTTTTCCACTCCTTGGGCCTTTTTGAACAACTGCTTAAATTCTAGCTGTGTTGACATTGTTGTCAATGGCAGCAAGTTGAGTACGAGCAACCATTTCCTTGTAAGACAAGTGCTCTCATTTTGGAAAACACTTAAGCATCATCGGATGGTACACTTCTAGCCCTCAGTCAATCTTGCCAAGTTGTTAAGTGGCTTTGGTTGAATGACAACCTCTTCTAAGGCCACATGAGGTAGTGACCCTGGCTTGATCCAACACGTGCTGCGTACTAGTCTGGGGATTAGGCAAGGATGGGCACACTTTTTGAATACCTCTGCATCCTTCCAGGAATACTTGTTCACCCAATGGAAAAGAACAGCCCATTGCACGTAGCAGCACACCTTCAAAGATGGTTTGAAATGGGTTCATGGGCAAGAATCGAGGACAGTTCAGCGGTTTGAGTCGCAGGCGCGGAATATGTCGCTGTTTCATAGTGCGCATGCTCAGTTGCACAAAAACAATATGTCGTCCAAGCCGTCGAAGATGTGGAGAAAACAAGAATCTATTTCATTTTATAAATGCTTAAATGAATTAAGCACAGCAGATTTTTGGGATTCTCAGCCAAGACAAGGACCTTATTACAAAGTGGAAAGAGCTATCACTCGAAGGAAAGTAAAAGAACAGGTAAGTTGCAGGACTTTATATTTTGTTTATAAACTTACTCAAAAACTTAAACTTGTAGGTTTAAGATTTAAAGCTTAATTTCCTATTAACGCTGTATCCTTTTATTGCTTTTCATTGCAGTACGAGTATTTTATCAAATGGGAAGGCTATGGTAGTGAGGCGAATTCTTGGGAGGTCGAGAGAAATCTAAACAATCAAGCTTTGAGGTAAACTATGATTGGTTGTTTGGAAATTCGTTTTCCTCATGAGAATTAAGCTTAACTTACTTTTTCAGAAATTTATGCTCTCTGGTTTTAAGAATTTAATTTCCTTAAACATTAAGAGCATAATAAATCTGATGAAAAGCTATGAAGAAGTTGCTTTCTTTCCTAAGCTAGAGTAAACGCTATAAGTGTTCAACATAAAACTTAAAATATATCTGTTAGACTATTCACTAAATTTAAAAGTTTTTTTGCAATCACTCTATGCTAGCTGCATTGTTTTAATTGACACTAGTTAGTATTAGGTAATGCAAAGCATTGGCCATTGCACACTTTTAGTGTTAGTACTCTGTTTGAATATTGAAAATTGTACATGTATTTTTTTTTTACTGAAATCTGTTGTTTAAACAACAACAACACATTTCATTTGAGAGAAATTTATTTCATAAACTTTTTTTTTTTTTAAATTTTCAGATCATACCAGTTCCCTGTGCCGTCCATGAGCAGAATAAGTGCTGATAAAGAGGCCTTACTTATAGGTATTTTAGAGCACTTGAAATCTAGAAGCACTAATCCAACAGTAATTCAAATCCACCATGATGTGTTCCGTTATCTTTTTCCTGATCAATGTGAGCCAAATAAAACTCTGGAACTTTTCAAAAAGGATTTTTCAACATGTATTTTCTGTAATAATTGGGATAAACTTTTTGATCGCATTGGTGATGGTGTTATGATAGAGTTTCCAATAAGAATAAGGTTGTTTTTGTTAAAAAGTCCAAAAAATCATGCACTTAAAGGAGATCAAGTTATAGTGCTTCCCCACTTTCACACTGAAAAAGCTAGTATTACCTTCAATAAGGTAGCTTGTAGCCTGAATTGATATATTATAAAAACAAATTGCATGAATTAACATCACATTTATTACATCATAATAACAGCAATAAGAAATAGAAGTATATAAATATTGTTAATAAAATATGCTCCAGCTTTATTGTTTCCTTTGTTTTTTTCCTGATATTTCTAAGTTCCTCATCCCAGTAATCCATGTTCCTTTTTGTGTAATTTCTCTTGCTTCTGTCAAAGTCTCTTAGTTGCCATTGTCTCTGCTCAAGCAGAAGAATATCAGCAGGGGCATCCCACTTGTTCGACTTTCTTAGTACAGTATTTCTTGCAACATCATTTTTTTCGACCCCTTGGCCGGAAAACAGCTTTACTGTTCCATACTTTTCAAGAAATCTTGGAATGTGAAAAACCATTGCGTTCATGTATGGAGTCACGTTTGCACGTCTATACCCTAGTCTTTTGTCCCTCAAGGATACAAATAAATTTATCCATGCTTTTGCCCTKTTAAAATAACCATCAATTTGTTCCTTGGTTGGAACTATTGTTGTAATAACATCATATATGTCTCTAAATGACCTCCACAGTTGGGCTACTGTATTACAAGTGTATGACTTCACCAGTTAATTTATCTGGCAGTTCACGCAGAAGTTGTTGTTTTTTTTTTGTCAGAACCCAATAAGCCTTTTCACACTTTAGCGGACGCGCGGGGCCTGGTACCGATTCGGGATAAAATGGACGTACTGATTCAGACTTTTGATGGCACTTCGAACATGTAAGCTGGTTAATTTTGTTTTGTTTGATAAATGGCTATATTTATTCCCCTTTCTAGATGAGGATTTGTGCCTTTCAACATTGTAGTAGTAGCACTTATCATATTCAGAAGTGGAAAACCAAGGAGTGTGATGTTCACCTAGGAATAAAGCACGAACAATGTGATTGTAAGCCGCCATTTGCACTTTTTCCTTTCCCAACCGCTAAATCTGACGCGGAAACCAGAAGAGATTGGATCAGAGCTGTTAACCGTAAAGATGCTAAAACAGGCAAAAACTGGCAGCCGAATTTTGATTCAAGAGTCTGCTCTTATCACTTTGTAGATGGAAAACCTTCAGAAGCTCATCCAAGCCCTTCAATAAATCTCATAAGGGCAGCTGCTACTGGTGGGACRTCCAGTTATCATTTTGTACCTAAAAGGAAGAGAGCTTTATCTCATAAATCGAGAGGATTTGTTCCAAAAAAAGCAAAGTTGTCTAATGACACAACATATGATCCAATAATGAATGAAGAGCAAGACAAGCAAGACAATTCGGTACCTAATGACTCAACAGCAATACCCACTATTCTTAATAACAATGATCATGATTATGGCTTACCTCCATTAACAATCAAATGCAGCTGCAGAAAGGACTGTAACTGTACTGGTTGTTTGATAAAGGATTTAGAAATTGCAAGTCTCAAGGACAAGATTGACAAGGCATACTTAGTGATCAATGATATCAAAAAGCAAAATAAAATGAGAGGACCAGCAACTGACAGATTTACAGAGACTGATGGAAAGGTTAATGTGTACACTGGTTTACCAAACAAAGCTTGTTTTGATTCCCTGTGTAAGCACTTACAGAAGAAATCAGCCAATATTCGATATTGGAGGGGAACACAAAAAGTAATAGTTACAAAGTTTAAAAGRCTTTATAAGAGAAAGCCAAGCAAAGTTGGTAAAAGAGGGCCACAAAGAAAGCTAACTGTTAAAGATGAGGTGCTTTTGACATTAATGAAATTGAAACTTGGTCTTCCCACTGAATTACTAGCAGATCTGTTTCTTATTAGTACTGGTTTGGTTTCACAGATATTTAACACTTGGATAAAATTTTTAGCCAAGCAACAAAGACCTATCATTCATTGGCCAGACAGAGAAACTATCAAGCAAATGCTACCACGTTCTCTAAGGGGATACCCTAACTTATGCTGTACCATTGACTGCAGTGAAATATTCATCGAGAGACCAAGGGACCTAGAAACACAAGCTCTCACTTGGTCCGATATCAAAAAGCATAACACAATCAAATTTTTGGTAGGTATTGCTCCAAATGGAATGATCAGTTTCCTATCAAAATTATGGGGTGGTAGAGCCTCTGATCAACATATAACAAGGCAGTCTGGATTTCTAAATAAATTAGAGCCTGGAGATTTAATTCTGGCAGATCGTGGTTTTCCTCTTCGTGAAGATCTGCTTATGAAAGGAGMAACCCTGAAGATACCTCCCCCCAGCAGTGGTATTGAACAAATGACCCAAGAAAATGTTAGAGCTACAAAAAGGATCGCAAATGCACGAATCCATGTTGAGCGTGCCATTGGAAGAATGAAGAATTTTGCTTTGTTGAGATATGTAATGCCACTTACACTTTTACCAATTTTCTGATGATATTGTCACAGTTGCTGCATGTCTGTGTAATTTTTTGGCACCTTTAGTTAGCTAGTTTCACTTGCATGTGTACTAGAATGCAAACACTAAAAGTCTAAGTAGTACTAAATTAGTTCTAAATTATGGTTATTATATTTTTTCTATTGTTTGATTAGTGCTATTTAGTACTTAATTGTGCAAAATATTAATATTGCATGCCTTTAGTGTTTGCACTCTATTGCAATAATTTGTCTGTGAATAAAACATGGCAAGTTATTKTTTGTGATATTTTTTTTCAAATTGGAAACATCTCTCTTAGTTAACACATAGCTAGGGAAAGAGTGTAATGGTCTGTAATGATTCTATGATTAAGTTGGTAGCTGACTCATTATAGTACCTATACAAGATTATACAAAATGAATATATTGAGAAATGAAAACCGTTTTAAAAGGCAGTGACTTCTTAAATTTATTTTTTGACAAACTCAATCCTTTCTTGTTCTCGCAGACCTTGACACAACCATAATATTATTAAGTTATTGTTTTCACTCCTTAGTGTTGCCTGACCTTGACAGACACAAATGATGTTATCAAGGAAATTTACAATGCAGTGAATCTTGATAATTACAGTGTGAAACAATATGAAGGTACTGTACATGGCACTGTACATACTTGATGTTTTGGTCACCAAAGTTATTATGTTGCTCTTGTGTTGTTATTATTGTTCATGAAATATGGGATAATATGGTTTTTAAAGAAATATTCTGCTGCACTTTCAAGTGCTCTCCATCTTTCAGTATCAAAATTGATTCTCTCTAGGTAGAATCCATGTTTGCTATAAACAAAAAAGTCACACCATTRTCTTCTAGTCACCCCCATCTGGTATTGGACTTGACTATAGTATGGATGGCTCTTTGAAAGACTTAYTTGCCCTTTTTTGTTGGCTTTTAAATATTTTAGATTGTTTTGATTGGGTGCAGAGTCTGCAATGCTAAAAGGGCATTTTATCTCAAGAAGGCCTTCCCCACAACATGTACAGTCCACTAATCCATCAGGACTTGCAGCAATATAGGCCTTGCTTGGTATTACACATAGTCCACTAGGCCTCACTTGTACATTCTGATGCTTTTAAGTTTTTATTACTTTTGTATATGCATTTCTTGCATCGTCCTCCATTTGTATGCCATAAAGCAATGCAGGTATTGCCTTGCTGTCAGATTTCAATGAACACAAGGAATCCAAAAGGGAGCTGCATGCATTATTTGTCTTGTCATTTGATTGTTGCAAAGTGTTAACCTTAGTCATGACACTGTGTGAGACAGAGGCAGTAATCCTGCCAACACGCTGAGACTTCCATTCGTGATTGCCATTCTGTCCAAGGGTGCGATTTTCAAGAACATGGGCTTCATCAACACTGAAACTGGTTAGAATGTCAAGTACCTGACTCCCTGTGTCCACTTCAGAGACTATTTCAGGGATACTTTTTGGTACACTAGTGGAAGTTTCAATTTCAATTGTACTCTCCACATTGATATTATCCTCAGGGAAGTAATTAGTAGTCACATGTAGATCAAGATATTGAAATCCACATGCATTTGGTATACTTGGATACAAAGCACCAAGTAAACTCTTGAGTGTGGGAGTATCCTTTTCAACATTTAAGCTTCCAGGTTGATAACATTGCCTGTGGTGGGAATTTATTGTGTTTCCTCTTGCTTTCTTTTTATACCTGGGTTTTCTTAACTGCATTTCACACACTCTCTTTGGTTCTATTTTTCTTTTTTTGCCATAATTATTCCATTGGCATTCTGTTGATGTGGGTGATTGTTTAATGACTAATCCATTATTCCAAGCATACTCAACTTTAAATAAAACAGCTGCAATATGATTACAGGTTGAGCCAAGTCTGTAAAAACAATACAAACAAAACCAAGACCTTATAATGTAATACTATATCATAATAGGTCCACAATACAAATATATTATATAAAGTTATATAAGGTTAGTCTGTAAGAATTAAAATCAAATCAGATTAAAAATAAATAAATATAAGTGCCTCAGTGTACTACATACCCAGCAAAGCAAGTGCAATAAGCTGAGACTACTGTACCAGTAMGTTTCTCTGCACRTACCCATATTTTATGAGGAACATTATTGATATTTTGAGATGGGGTGGACTCTGACTTTAGGAAACAGTACTTTGAGGATGAATTGATTTCATGATAATAGACATTTTTCAGCCATTTAGAGTCGAAATAACTAAAAGCCTTGCCTTCTTTATAATCACTAAGTAAACGTTTCTTTAAWGCAGTTTGCGATTGTTCAGCAGTGAGCAGAAATTCTGCGATATGCAGCTGAAAAATGGGTGGCCACTTCTTTATTCCTACATTTTCGTCGAGCCAACCACTTGAAAGTGAGAAAGGATCGGGTAGTTGAAAACCTTCGAATTTAAGCAAGGAATTATACTGAATCCTTTTTCTTGAGTTTTCTTCTTCCGTGCWGGGTTTTATTGCAATTCCCAGTTCRTGAGCACCATATGCCAGCGCAGCTAACTCCTCTTTCGTTCCTGTTACTTTAAGACCACGATCGCGTAAAAATGACTTCAATTCTGGGACTTTATAACGTCTAAAGTCGCCTAGGTTTTTACTTTCACGATTTTCCTTCTCTTCCATTTCTATTTTGTKTCTAAATTAGCGGGAAAACTTCAGTCACGTGTAGCAAGTTCGGTTTGTTTACAATCTGGGCCTACTTGACAGCTCGATTGAAAGGCCGACCATAATACGCAAATTAAGAAAGGTTTAGTTTACAGTGGTTACTCGTTTTAGCATGCAGAATRAAATAATACTTACCTCGAAGTGGTTTTCGATCGGTAAATATGAAAAATTTATTGGCAAAGCAGCAAAAACTAAAAAGAAACATCGCTTCAAACAACAAGAAACGTGTGGGGAAAAGTTGCTTCCGCTGGGATTTTATCCCGAATTGGTACCAGGCCCTGCGCGTCTGCTAAAGTGTGAAAATGCTTATAAGCTGGTAAAGTAATACTCACCAGCCGATTTTCCGTCAGCATTAGTTAATCCCATATGTCAAATGTAATTCCACATGAGCGAATTGTTTGTTCCAGTTTTTGTAGGTGCACTTTTCGAGGTTCTCCCCTTTTTTTCTTAGGGTCTTCCCTAGAGTCCCATTCTTTAGCATCCAAGATGAGATTTTTAATAAGAACATTCATTACACGTAGCAGTAAATGAAGTTCATCAAGACCAACATGGTCTAACTCAATGTTCAACAGTGGACTAAATTCAAAGCTTTTATTGTCTTTCTTTTTACCAGCCACACTTCTGATTTTTTTAAGTGTCCTTACTAAAGGTTCATTGTTATAATGATTCACATTGAAGCTCATATCCCACCTATTATCTTTAAAAACCTCACACCAACATGCATAATCGGAGGTTGCTCCCTTTGACTACAGCAATTGTATGTATCCCCCTTGCAGCCATGACATCTTCACCAGCTTGTAAAATACTAAAGGATAGAAGGATATAACTAGAATTTCTGGTCATTCGTGCCCCATCACCAGAGATCTTGATTCGTAAAGGCTCATCGTTTTGAGGTAGGTTATTTGATTCCACAAATGCTTCTATTCTTCTAAGCTTCAGTAAATATTTATAACCTTAAAACTAGCAGTGAATAAAGAGAAGCAATCCAGAATGACTTTGGGATCCCTGTGGTAAATGTTTAGTTCAGTCTTTTTATTGTGCTTATATTGTGCTTATAAACAGTATTTTGGCACATATATTTTCTATTGATCATGGTAACGTGATCAGAACTACCAAAAGAGTGGTACAGTTAGTCAAAGTAATTTATTGGAGAGCTCCAAACTGCTTAGAAATCTAGAAATTGGAGTTCCTGTCTGGTTCCTGGGGTTACTAGTACTTAGTTTCTCACGGTAATTTCATCCAAGATGGCTGACAAGGAAAGTTGTAAAGAAAGCTGAAGAAATCGAGGAATATTAACAAAATTTAAGACGATTTTGGGATTCTTACTTGGGTAAAATATGAAATGGCACGTGCTAGAAATACCTGAACTTTTAGAAAGTTTTGCAGAACGGATTTAAGGCTTTTTTCGATGCAAAGTCTACGAACTTTGTTGGCATACATCAAACTTTGGACGTGCAGACATTGTATTCCTCCTACTAGGAAAAAACTATTGGAGAAAGTATACTGGCTGTCTCTCAATATTTATGCACATTAACAGAACACTATGAGCTTCCAAATCGTCGTTTTTTGAGAAGTTTTGCGGAACAGCGATTACCTGAAGCACTGTAAACTTTGTCTTACGATGTGAGAATGGTAATGCTTAACATTTCTAGAGGTGCAGACTGGAAGGAAATCTTTGTAGAGGTTTGTAAATTTATATTTTATCATTTTCCCAATACATKTCTTAAGGCGCCGCCATATTGGAACTTGCAAATAGTGCGTTTGTGCGCATGCTCTCGACCATGTCGTCCTCCATTTCTGCCCATGTTATCAAGGGGTAGCACTTGGTACTTCTTCAATTTTGCTTTCTTATTCAGCTTTTTCATAGCTGACTTGGAAAGATGCCACACATCATACTAAATCCTTTGCCATGGTGCTGGTGATGGATATGTGTCTGTCAGTTGTGATACATTTTATACTGACTGTGTCTTCTAAAGTGTTCTAACACCTTAGAAAGCCCTCTTTCTCCATAGCATTGGACCTGATTACTTCAGAGACTTGAACTATACTGAAGGTGGCAATTTTCCCTGTGCTTGTCTCCATCATAACATATGTGCCAATTTTAGCACTATGGCCAATTTAGCACTATGGCCAGGACAATCACTTTGGCCATTACCATTGAGATTTACTATGTCCTTATTTGACAATTTTTCAATTACAGCAGCCTCCTCTCTCTTCCAAGCATCATTGACAACAAGAAATAGGTAACGTTCCTGATGCCTGTAAAAGACCCTCTCACTCAGAAATTTCAGGCCAAGACAGGATGCAAAGTTTTTGAGTCCGTTTCATACATGTAGTTGTCAYAATAAGTATGCTGCCTTGACATACAAAGTTGACTTTCGAGACGTGCTCCACAGTTTCTACAAAACCTGATTAACTGCTGCAAACAAGAGTTAAATACCAAATACTTAGGTTCAATTACACCTAATCTCTGCCCAAGACAGTTTATAATGAACCCCTGGAAAGCTGTGCCGGTCACTGCCGCAGCCAGATTATACCAGTGATCCTTGTTCCTTCGTGCCTTTCCATACAACAATGAGCACCGAGGAACGCAGCAGCATGCCAACTGTGATAACCTGTTACGTTTACTTGTTCAGGCTCAAGAGGACAAGCCAGATAAGGTAGAACTGTTTCACGTCGCAGTGGTCAACACCTTGCCTGTTACCGAGAAAGGCAACAAGTTGCGAGCCCCTGCTGACATAAGTTGTGCAGTTTGTTGAGTCGGGCTGTGAAGGTGCGGAAACACACCCAGACATTGCACCTTACATGTGTCGTAAGGACGAGTTGGCAGTTCATCGTGGCAACCTTATGTGGGGAAATAGAGGGGCAGTACATGTACCAACTAAATTGAGAGAAAAAGGCCTCAAAACCCTGCATACTGAGGGACACATTGGTGTATTTAAGATGAAAGGCGTGGCGCGTGGCTACGTCTGGTGACCGCAGATAGACCAAGAGATAGAGGAATTGGCTAAGCAATGTTTGGGGTGTAAGGAAGTAGCTTGTAGCCCATCCAATGCCCCATTGCACAGGTGGGAGTATCCAGCGCAACTATGGAAAGATTGCATGAGGACTTTGTGGGCCCTGTGCACTACAAGATTATGCTGATTGTAGCAGATACACAAATTAAGTGGATGGAAGTGTTTGTGATGCATAACACAACCACTCAGAAACCGTATCTAACCTGCGCTCATTGTTTGCAAGAATGGGTCTGTCGGATCAATTGGTTTGGGCAAAGGTCCCCAGTTTACGTCCGAGGAGTTCAAGCATTTCTGCGCAAGAAATGGTATCTAAAACGTGACAGGAGCTTGAAGAGCGTTATCTAGGCTGACAACAGTGATAGGAGTCTTTAGCACAAGATAGATAGGTTCCTGTTGCTGGAATGCTCCACATGCCACCACGGGTTACAGTGCGGCGCAGCTACTGTTTGGGAAGAAACTCCAATCCGCCCTCGAACTGTTGAAGCCCACTGTCAAACAGCGAGTAGACTAGAAACTACTTAAGAGCAGATGTCAGCAAGCACCAAACAAAATTAGACTGTTTCATTAGAAACACCGACGCAGCTCACACTAGTTTTTAGCTAGTTATATCTTAAAATTAGAAGTAGTGCATTGGTAGCCTATTATGTCCCAATCATCATGGTTTAGTTTATTTCTGAAAATGTTTTTGCTTTTGAGAAATAAGCATTTAACCACAACGGGTAAATATGATAATTAGTAATGTCCCAAATCGGCCAACTTCAGTGAGCTAACACATAATGCGGTAAGCCTTGTGGGATGAGCTCGGAAATCATAGAAGAACATGCGTAATAGGTAAATTGGCCAAAGTCGCGTAAAAATCGAGCTAGCTCAACTAGAAACCATGGACAGCTGTTTTGGCTTGCTTTGGGCCTTGTCAGCACTGTGTATCTATTGAGCTGGTAGAATCCCACGAAAAGTAATACATGATAGATGAGACAGTACACAGTGTGGGATGGACTCTGAAATCATATAAGAACATGCGAATTACAAGCCGTGTATGAAATGACTGAAAAAGACTGCCAATGCCTTTCACAACTTCAAGTCGCGTTAAAAATAAGCCAGCTCAGAAACTTTCTAGCCTTTGGTGTTGATAACATGATTTTCTTTTTGCAAGTTCTTCATTCACTGTCATTATTGAAGATTTCAATGCAATGTAGAATTTTCTACGAATTTTTTCCTCGGCCATACTTTTTCCTACTATAAAAGTAGCCTCAAAACAATGGTCATACAAATAGTGTGCGATATAAAACTTTCTTTATGTACTTAAATAATGTTTACGAGGGGCGAGCTCAAAGTTACGTAAAATTCAAATACTAGTGACACTGAAATCAACAAGATCGTCTGGTGAGCTGTCGATTAATCATGTTTACTATCTTAAAGCATTTACAAAACTAAAATTATGAATGCTAACTTTGTTTTAGTTGGTGAAACTAAGAGCTTCAACCGTTGTTTATCAATTGTTTGTCAGGTTAATTGCATCACACCCGGTTTCAGGTAATGTTGGCATGGTGCTGAAGAGCGTGACACTGTCCCAAGGATTGACACAGCCGTATTTGGCATTYCTTTAAATTTCTTAGAATAGGAAGTTTCATTTCTTCCTTATCCGAATGTTTTACCTCTTAGATGAAGCATTAGCCGTTAATACCAAGGCCAGGTTCATATAACGTCGACTAGATGGGTATTGAGATAAAAGAAGGCGAATGTATTGATTGATATGGATATGATACACAGGTGATACCTCTATTGACATGCAAGAAAGGGATTTCGAGTCACTTGAGGTCGATTTAATTTTGTCTCGCGTTGTTTTATTCAAGGCCCGAAAAAACTAAGAAGAAATTTATTCAGAACCATTTATTCAAGTTGGTTCTGGTAAGTGTCCTGAAAAGTCATCTCTACTTGATAGCCTCCTGTTTTCATGAGTACAGGATGTTAAATGTGCATCAACAACTGTTAAAAAAAGATAAAACAAATAGAACCTGAAAAGAATGTCATATCAACGGTTGCAATGGATTTTAAGAAGCCTCAACTGGTGATTGAGGATCATATTGTCATTGTACCAAACCGCATTTCCCTACCACAGACCACTGGACAATGGATTGACTAAGATGTACATTAAGCGTTATAATGAATATACAAAGTGGTTATGTTATGAAATATAATTATCAGTTTGCTTAACGTTAATAGAGATAAGAGTAACAAGAAAATCAAAATTAACATATTA